CTCTGCTTACCAGGCTGAAGATGTGACAGATCCACTGTCATGGATTTCTGGTCTTTTCTTGGGAACTCCTGTTCTCTGTCCTCTTCCGCTTCACAAATGAAGAGATGTGGCTGAGGTGAGTCCTGTTTCAACAGTTGGATCTGCTTGGATGAAGGACAGTGAAACTCCTTCAAAAGATTCACATGAAAACACTGATGTTTCTTCTGTATATCTGGTGTGTGGAGTTCATACGTGACCTTACTCACACATCTTGTGATCTCATAGGGGCCATGCCATTTGGCCGGCAGCTTGTTGTCACTGGCGGGTAGAAGAAGCAACCTGAAAAGTTCTCTGTCTGGCCTTTTTGTCATACCAGAGCTTCTGGTTAGCTTGTGCGGTCTTCATATGCTCCTGTGCTAGTGTCGTCATCCGCTCCAACCTGTCTCTCATCTGAAGAACATAGGCAACCACGTTGTCCTGTTGAGATGTCGGAGTCTCCCAGTGATCTTTCAAAAGATCCAGTGGTCCTCTGACTTGGCGACCATAGAGAAGTTCGAAAGGAGAGAAACCTGTGGATGCTTGTGGAACCTCCCGGTATGCGAACAAAAGATATGGCAGCCACTGGTCCCAGTCAGAGCCTGTTTGGGAGACAAACTTCCACAGCATTTTTTAGAGTCTGATTGAATCTCTCCACCAGCCCATCCGTCTGGGGATGATATGGGGTGGACCTAATACCCTTAATATCTAACAGCCCATAAACCTGCTGCAGCAGTTTTGATAAAAAGTTTGTGCCACAGTCAGTCAGGATTTCTCTGGGTATGCCCATTCTCGAAAACAGCTGGATCAAACAGTTAGCCACATGCCTAGCAGTGATAGATCTAAGAGGAAATGCTTCAGGGTAACGAGTGGCATAATCACAAATAACGAGGATATATCTATGGCCAGATGAGCTTTTCTCAAGGGGCCCTACTATATCCATTCCAATTCTGTCAAATGGAGTAGCAATTAGCGGCAATGGCTGAAGTTGGGCCCATGGTACCCCCCTAGGTGATGTTAGCTGGCAAGTTTGACATGTAGCACAAAACTCTTTCAGTTGTATGTACATACCAGGCCAAACAAACCTACTGGCTATCCTTCTGAGGGATTTCTGAAATGCTAGATGACCCGCCCATGGAACAGAATGACCAAGCTCCATTACTTTCTGTGTTAAACATTGTGGTAATGCCAAAGCCTCAATCATGCCCTGTCTTTGATAGAGAATGCCATTTTTAATTATATATGTAGTATCTGCTAGACAATCTGCTGTGTGTAGTTTGTCACCCTCTACCTCTGTAACTTTATCAAACCAAACTTTTAGTTTTGGATCAGCCCTTTGAAGTGCAGCAACATCTGAGGGAATTTCAAAATCTATGGCCTCACTTGGTTCTTTAATAACTTCACACAGGTTTTTTGATGAAACCAAAAACTTCTCCCTCCTCTTTTGTGCTCTGGTCTTCTGTGGCCTCACTGGGCCCCCATCTAGCTCTGCATGGTAAAAAGGTAACTCCTGAGCTCTGGTGATTGCCATATTACAAGAAGCATGAATATTCCCCACTAAATGTCTCTCTACCCCTTGAGCTTCTGCCGAGACACTATTCTGTCCATTCAGCTGGGATTTGTTTTTTGCTAGATGGATGAGATCAAAAAGAACTGGAACATCACTGCCCAAAATAACAGCATAAGGGAGCTTATCCACCAAAGCTACTGACATAAGGTATGTTTGACCATCAGCAGTTAGGTAAACCTCAGCTGTAGGGTATGCCTTCTCATCCCCATGAACACAGCAAATGTTAGCCGAAGCATCAGCCCACAGGTCTCTTGGCACAATACTATTCAATTCAATTCAATTCAGTTTATTTATATAGCGCCAAATTCACAACACGTCATCTCAAGGCACTTTACAGTTCAACCAGATCATACAGTCAAATTGATACAAAGTTTTCTATCTAAGGAAAACCAGTTGATTGCATTGACTCAAATACAATCCCCCACACTAAGCATGCTTGTAGCGACAGTGGAGAGGAAAAACTCCCTTTTAACAGGAAGAAACCTCCAGCAGAACCAGGCTCAGTGTGAGCGGCCATCTGCCGAGGCCGACTGGGGTTCAAGGAGACAGAAGCAGAGATACAAAAAGCAGCTGTAAAAGGCGGCCCCGTCCAGGAAGTGAACCACAGACTTAAAGCAGCCTGAATCTAACAAGGCCTCCTCACGCTGACCATTAATCAGAACAGGGACAGTTAAAACCTCTTTTTGAAATGGAAGAGGTTGAGACGGTCTTGGAACTGTACACAGCAGGGAGGGTGTAGTATGTCTGCTTGAAGGGCATGTGTACTGAGTATGACCTAGTCCATTACAGAGGTAACAGCGAGTGTCTGGTCTAGAGTTGGAAAAAGATTGTCTATTCTTATTCGGTCTTGAAACACCAGGTTTAGAAAAAGGTTTTCTGAAATTACAGTGGGACCTATTTTGAATTTGTCCACCCCCATCACCCCCATAGGACTTACTGCTTCCAGTGAAACGGCTGTCACTGTAGAAGGCTGAACTGTGGCTCCCGGTCCTGGCAGACAGGAACACCTCTGCAAGTTGAGCAGCTTCTTCAGCAGACTTGGGGTCCCTTTCACGTATCCAAATCTCCATGGGTTCATCATTCTCAGGAACTGTTCCAGAATCAGAAGTTCTGAGATGTCTTTCACTGTAGAAGTATCAGGCTTCACCCATTTATTAAAGAGGTCTTTTAGTCTGACATACAGTTCACGTGGGGTTTCACCAGGATTGATGTCCAGTGCACGAAACCGTTTCCTGTATGTGTCACGTGTGATTTCATACTTTGCCAAAATCACCTCTTTGACCTTCTCATAATTGGCTGAGTCATCAAAGTCCATTAGAACATATGCACTTCTTGCTCTACCAGTGAGCAGGGGAACAAGCTGAACTGCCCATTCATCTTTTGGCCAACCGCAGACTGTAGCTATTCTTTCAAAAGTCATCAAATAATGTTCAATGTCATCTTCTGGTGATAATGGCAGGATCTTAGGCTGTTTGGGTAACCTTAACACTCTTTGTATGGGTGGGTCTTTCTGTCGATCACGTGCAGATACTTCATAATCAGCACCATCAGAATCATCATCTTCAGTGTCTTGTTTCATCATCATCAGCAGTTACTTGTGGCCCAGTACTTTTGTCAACATCATCTCTCAGTTGTCTCACCTGAGCTTGAATCTGCTGGAACTGATGTTTCAGTGACTTCATCATTTTTTCTTGCCGTGTGGACTCCTTTTCCAGTTGTTCATCTCTGGAAGCCTGGGATTGGATTAGAGACTTTACCAGACTGGTTAATTCCTCCAATTTATCAGGATTGCTGTCTTCTGCTGCTGGTGCTCCCTGCTGCTCATCAGAGGGAACTGGTTATTCAACATCTGGTCCCTCTTGGTGCTCCACCTTCTTTCCACCTCGCGGCATAATTTAGCATGTAGTTTCAAACCGTAGCTTCTGACACCACTTGTCACATGCTTGTCAGGAGGCCAAGTAGTCTTGGAGGTGGGACCCAAACTGGTTGACAGAAGAACATGCTTTGTAGAGTTTTCAGCAGACAAAATTTTAATTTCTTCTTGTGCAGGACATCAACAAAACCACACCAACCAAGAACAATGGCAGACATGTTTCTTAAATAGAGGAAGAACTAAATTGGAAGAAACCATTTTTAAAAAGACTGTTCAGCTTCACAATAAGAAGAAAAGGAAATTTTGGTTTAAACAAACAACTACTTAAGAAATAATTTTATAAATAAATACAGAAACAAATATATTAATTCAATCCAAACAAATACTCAAACTCAATAAAGAAAATACCATACATCAGATCAACCTCCCCCCTCTTCAATTATCTAATGGTACAGTCCTGTACACACCTGCTTGGAGAGTGAAACAGCAGAGGTGAGTATTTCAAAATATTTTAAATCTTTAATGTCCCTTTTATAAATAAACAAAAAAAAAAATATATATATATATATATATATATATATATATATATAAAAGGTAAATTGATTTCACTTAAAAAAAATAAAAAATAAAAATATATATATATATATACATATATATATATATATATTTTAAAGTGAAATCAATTTACCTTTTTACAAAAAAAAAACAAGATGTGGCCAACCAAAGAACCAAAACCCAAACAAATATAAACCAATGTAGAAAACCAGATCCTGTGTTTAGCTGCTACTATGGCCAATATACAATTAACAATGGCTCATTGTTACACATAGATTCACAATGAAAAGAAAATGTTTGGGCAGAAACGTGAAATTCATGTTGATTGTGAGTTTTAATTATGAATCAAGTGTTAATTTCCGCATGTTTTGCTCCTATGAATTTAATAATAATGTCGTGCATGCTCTTCTCAATCTCCTAGGAGGTCGTTGGGGAGCAAGATGGGAACAACGGCGGAGGCTGTAGGATTTGCCTTGCGTAGGCGGTCTGGAGCGGAGCTGGGCAGTTACAGAGGATGTGGGATTTTGGGGTAAGGCAGGTCCTTGTATCACTTTCTGACCTCAAACATGTTTTCCAGAAAGAATGATAAAGTATTCCAATATACTCACACTTGTATGTAAACCACGAGAAAGTCTTTTCTGAAGAACTGAAGTCAGTGCTGCCACGAGTGGATATACCTCAAGCCAAAACTTGAATGAAGGCAAGTGAGATTATCCTTTTGGTTTCTCTTGTTTTCAAGAGATTCATTTTTCTTTGAATTCAAGGATATATATGGGAAGAAAAGAACCCACAAACATGAATTATTTCTTATCTCTATCCCTTAAACCAAACTGTATAATTATGCCAGTGTGTCAGAGATTTTTTGAGCTGAATATACACTTTAGTAAATAAGGCATTTCAAGTTTAGAGGTTTTGTAATAAACTGGAGCTCTGCAGACCTTAAAAAAGGTTAAACACGCTGAAATTCAAAACAGAAAACACACAAACCATAGTTTGATCTCTTTAATGGACAGACATGAAGTGCCATCATTCCTTTCATCTGCACTTAAGACAGCGCATGTCTTTTCACACCACAGTTTCCATGACATATTTCCAAATTGCTGCAACATAAAAAGTTATTCATTTTGGTTTCTCCGCTATGTAACAGGGAGTTAAGCAGAGCTTTTGAATCATCTTAAAACTTCTGCCACATAGCATTAAACAAACTATGACCTTACATGTGCAAACTTTTCCCAGCACCTAACTCATACTGATAACTACCCCCACCCCACAGAATACAAGATTACAAAATGGTAAACTTACAAAAGATTCCATACAAAGGTAAAGTTTCTCTAAAAGTACAAATTGCAAGAACACTACTGCCCTAACCCTAATTTTAGTAGTCCTAAAACGTGCCAAGGCATTTGTGACATGAAGGTTAAAGCAGTGAAAAAGTGAGCAGGATGTGCTCTCAGCAAAATTTAAGTCCTGGATCTAGATATCCAGATATAAAACTGGATAATTCCATAGGCCAATATAAAAGTAAAAAATAAAAAAATGTCTTTCTTTTTAACAATTTTGGTTTAAGATCATTTTGAAGATACAGCTCTGAACTCACCCCAGAAGAAATCACTGACGTTTAAAAGAAGGGGAAACACACAGGACCAGTTTTATGGCTTAATTTGATGTGTGACCCTACAGAACCTGTGTGATACACAAAGTGTAATTTTAATGTAACAAACATATTAAATTATTAAAAATATACTGACTTTGCCTATTAAAACATACAGTAAGTCTTTAAAATGGATTCTTTGGATTCAGATTCAATCTCCACCAACAGCCCTGATAAAAATACGTCAGCATTGATTCTTTTTCTTTAAGTTTTGACATCTGGACCCAGGGGTCAGTTATGTGTCCTTAAAGGCCGTCGTACATGCGCAAGGTGCGCTCCAGTTGCTGTACAACACGCTGGTAAAAGGCTATCTGCTCCCTGAGGTAGGCTTGCATCATATCTTTGAAGTCCACCTCTCGCTGCTGATGGAAGTGGCTCATTTCTGCTTGGAGGGCAAAGCCCACAGTCCGGCAGCGTTTCCTAATGCCATCTGCTTCATCTTGGTCCATTTTCCCTTCGTCGCTCATCCGCTGGCTCTCCTTCACTTTGGCAAAGGCACCTGTTTTAAGAAACAAACACAAAAGCCCATTTTTCTTTTAGTTAAGCAAATTCTTTCATTGTGGTTAACAGAAAGGAAGATTATACCATATACTAAAAAAATACTACAAATTGTAATTTTTTTGTTTTGGTAATACAATGTTGAAGCATAGTGGAAACTGACAGTTATTTCACTTTATAATATTATCTTAAGACTCTCAGGCAGGGCAGCGAAAGGATTAATCAGGGAGGCAGACAGGATATCAAAGGTGCCTGGAGGAGGAGCACAAGAGTGGTAAGAAAAAAAGAAATGTCGGAGGGTGTAAAAAGTTTAGCTACGTTTACATCCCCACAATTTCTCGATCAGATCGACATCTTGTTTTATCACAAGTTCAAAATCTCAGTTTACCTGAACACTAAATAAAATGATTGATTAATATGCATGAATGCATTAACGCAGCGATCGATCAGATTAAATCATTTGAGCATGGATAGAACAGTCTAGGCAAGTCTTAAAACTTTCTGTTTTGAAAAAGCTTAGATAGAGTGGCTAGTTATCCTAAGCTATCCCTATAGTTATGGTACTATGGGCTTAGACTGCTGAAGGACATAGGGACCCATTTTAATTTTTTTATCTCCAGTCTCCCATTCTGCAGTTTTTGTTAGCTCAATCTCTAACGTTATAATCTCACTATTTTTTGCCATCATAGTAGCTTGATCTGGTCTGTTCCTGTTTGGCTGTGACTCCATCCTGGAGAGAAATATCAGCTGTGCTGCTGCCATCAACACCTTTGTTCATAGATGTTGGAGATCGGCCTGTTTTTCGGTGTTCTGTTTCTCTGACTATGACTAATGGGATGTGCTCTCTTTCATCCTCTGAACGCTGTACGTTTTTGCTTTGAACCCAAAACTAACTATTAAGCTGTGGCTCATTTTTTTTTCCTCGGCTACATTTATTCTTTTTTTCACCTGCACGGACCCTGCATGGTGGACTCTGCTGCTGGCCAGAGGTCCATCTCCTCCCTGGCTTTGCTTTTTCTATTAAAGGAATAGTACACCCAAAACATGATTAGCCTTCATTTTCTACTCACCCCCATGCTGAACAACACTCTGGAGTACTTTTTTGATATCTCAAATGCATCTGGAGATCTGGGAGGCTTCTTGCTGTCTGCTGACATTCAAATAATGGAGGTCTATGGTGCCCGAGACAGAAAGGTCCATAAAAGTCCACAAAAAACGTGTCAATATTCCTCCATACTGCTCGTCCAATGTATTCCAAGTGTCCTGAGTGGGTAGCATCCAGAATTTACTCGAAACGAAGTCATTTAGAATGTTTTTAGAGCATAAACAGTAGTGTATAGGATTTCCTGAAAGCGCGCACCTGCGCGTTCACAACGCTACGGAAGCCGGCAGACCAAACCAGATGAAAGTGCGCATTCAGCGTCTGCTCTGCCAATAATGCAAGTGTAGAAGAAGAAATGTGCTGTTTACCTGTGCAAAGAAAGAAACAATGAAAGAAAAATGTCTGAGAACTTCAGTGTTGAGGAAGAGCATGAGTTCTTTGCCGAGCTGAATGCGCACTTTCATCTGGTTTGGTCTGCCTACACTACTGTTTATGCTCTAAAAACATTCTAAATAACTTCGTTTCGAGTAAATTCTGGATGCTACCCACTCAGGAAACTTGGAATACATTGGACGAGCAGTATGGAGGAATATTGACACGTTTTTTGTGGACTTTTATGGACCTTTCTGCCTCGGGCGCTGGGCACCTCCATTATTTGAATGTCAGCAGACAGCAAGAAGCCTCCCAGATCTCCAGATGCATTTGAGATATCAAAAAAGTACTCCAGAGTGTTGTTCAGCATGGGGGTGAGTAGAAAATGAAGGCTAATCATGTTTTGGGTGTACTATTCCTTTAAGGCAATAAACATAAAAAAATGTGGAAAGCATTTTCTTTTAGATAGAATTAGGAAAAGAAGCAGTAAAAAGTGCATAGTCATTTAACTTTAAAGGCACTTTTATGGCATAGACGTTTTATTATCCCTCCCCTGTCTCTCCTGTATTGTGACCACAAGAGTTAGCTTAAATGGATAAGTATGGAGAACAATTGGGGGAATAAAGTCTGCTTAGAAATTTAACTGGATTGGGTTTATTCCAAGAATAAAATAACTTGCTGATGTCACAGAGACAACAACCTTTTAAATTATTGTTAAATAGGTAAACATATTGATATCTGGCATGTTTTACCTTGTCATCATTTAACTAACATGTCTAATTTGCAAACAACATTACACAACTGGGCAAACTTTGTGGCTTCTTGCTGCTGGTTTGCTTAACATCCTGATGCTCACATTCATATGAAGGTTATTTTGTTTCAAAATTATTTATGCATTGTAAGTATGAATTTGAAGTTGTAGAGAGAGTTACGTTATAAGGTTTGTATTTGTAGAATTAAAAAAATTACAAATATTTTTTTTCAAATTTTAAGTACAAGTACACAAATTCTGTGCTAAATGTTGCAGATCAAAAACATCTTACATTCTCAGTTTTGCTTCAAATAGTTCTGCAACTATTGTTGCAAAATTATTTGTGCATTGAAACTTTGATGTTTGGTAACTGTAGATTTTTTTTTATCTGTCACAATTACAAAAAAAGTTATAGCTCTTCAAATTCTTGAGTACAAGTACTGTAAGTTGCACATTAACAATGTCCTCCATTCAGTTCTGCTACAGTTGATCTAAAAAAAAATGGTGCAAAACAAATTCAAACTCTTGTATTAATATATATATATATATTATTTTATTTTTTTTCCTTAACACAAATACAAATCAATGAATACAATGCACGAATCTGCTGCTTTAAGTCATGAATTCAACTTTACAAGTTACGTCTTCATTTTTACTTTTGACACAAGTGTCACACTGGTAAAATGATCTGTGACTTGTGGGTAGTACCCTTGATAGGACAGCAGGAGGCGCCACTTCTCTGTCAGTCTGTACCGAAATACATATATGGCCTACTGCCATGATGTCTTCCAAGTATCTAGCCGACATATGCAGTCACAGGATGCGTTCAAATTCAAGGCTGCATCTTCCAAGGACGCATGTCATTATCCGATCCGTACCGGAAGCACGATCCGTACCATCAGCTCATTTGCGCGTGCGCAAACAGAATAACTTCGGGTGGCAATATTTCCTTTTTTTTACTTTTTTATTCTTTTGTATTTTTTAGAGGCATGGGTTTCTTTTTGTACATCTTTGTTTTTTCGTCAATATTGCATTTTCTAAAAATAAAAAAACAGAAATACATAAAAAAGTTCAATCGCCTTGTGATAGTTACTTTGACTGCTCTGAGCATGCGCAAATATACGTCACACAGCGTATATATTTAAATTTGTTTAAATATTTGATTTACTCTGTACTTAACTACGCACTCCAGCAGTACTGATCCCACAATGGATTCATTTGCTACCTTTCGTGACCTGCAGTTTTTCATTGATAAGGGAACATTTCCCAAAAATTTGGATTTTTATTCCAGAAAAATGACGTCACGCAATACAATGGATTGAATTTAAAAAGCATCCATTTCTTCCAGAAAAGTCTTCAATATTGTCTTTACGATGTAGTTTAGTATTCTTTAATTATTTAATGATATAAATAAAGTTTTTTCAGTACCGTAATTAGGCCTACATTATTTTTTGGCGACCCGGAAGTTATTCTGTTCGCGCAGGCGCAAATGAGCTGATGGTACGGATCATGCTACCGGTACGGATCGGGTAGCGACAACGCGGTTTACCTGAACTGAATCCTTTGAGGTCTGTGAAAAGATGGAGGCCGGAAGAGTTTTGGCTGTGAATTCAAACAGATCTAGCTGTTCTGTCGACTAGCAACCGTGACAGTTAACACAGAAAGCAGGAAAAGAATAAATAACGAACATTTAAAAAATGTTCCTTTTTATTTATCTATTTATTGTAAAGTGAACAAAGACTACACTCATGATAATACAGAGTGGAATAGGGCTAAAAATGTAATGATAGAAACCTTAGTCAGTTAAATAACATGCTGCTGTCATTTTGCACATCTCTGATGTTGCTGCTATTTTCAAATATTCATTTCTTTAAAATTGTCCATAGCTGCATATTGGTTATTTATTCTCCAGGTGTACAGTTTATATTGTTACCACACTTCACAGTACACTATTTTATTGTTTAACTTATAACTCTTCACTATTATGTTATTCTAATACATTTGTCTGTTACACATTCGTGTGACCATTTTTTTTCTAAACTTTTTTTTCTGTTGTAAACACCAGAATTTCCCTATTGTGGAACAATAAAGGTATTTTCAATTCTATTCTATTCTATAAAAGGGGTAGAAAGGTATAAGGTATAAATATCTGCAAAATCTCTTATATACAACAACAACAAATAATTAAGCAAATTTTGCAAAATAATAATTAAAAAATTAAACTCCTATCAGATTTATAGTCCCCACACTCCAGATATATTAGAAGCTGTCCTTAAATTACAGCCATACCCATTTACACAGTAACAGATAAAAAAAACTTTTAGATAAACCAAACATTACCGCCACATATCTGACTCAATAACCATTAAAACTACTATTTTCATTCATTTCAGACGGAACTATTCACAGACTTGGATTATATTAAACTACACTTCCAATAATCACCGCAGTTCGGTGCCAAGTACCTTTTTCCTATGATCACAGAACAGCCAGCTTGATTGGACTTGCAATGAATCCTGGGATATCCAAGGATAGCAAGGATACATCAGACCCATCCTTCAAATCGGACAAAAATAAGGCAAATTTGTAGGCCTCATATAGAGGAGTCTTGGAATTTGACCAGACCTCGGCACAGCGCTATGACGTTATGCTCAATAGTGGTTGTGGAGAGCTGGAGAGGAACACCCCCCAGAGCACTGAGTCCAGCGCCGGGAGACCCAAAGCCCCAGGTGCCCAAAGGGACCCCAAGAGCGAAGGCACCAAGGAGGGGCCAGCC